ATTGCACACCAGCTTGAGTATTTAAACTGCTGAGCATGCAGCAGCTTGCATTTAGTTTTACTGGAGGTGGTAAGAACTACATGTTCTGGAAAGTCAGGCTTCGGGTTTCCTCATGAGACACTCAGGAGGCTAAACATTGTTTAAATGTTTTGATTGTGGGATCTTGGCCCTCAGCTCAGAGCATATCCTGCCAGACAAATGGGAACGTTGGCATTTTTTCCAATCCAAAAAAAAGTTTTCCATACTTGAAGAACTAGATTTTCAGAAAATAGGAAGAGTTCTTTTGTCCAAAGGCAAAGAATTCTCTGATTTGAGAGCTCACACTGATGTATCCCCACTATAATGGAGAGGTATTTTATAACTACAGGCAAGGTAACATACAAATTAAAATAACATCCTGAAGATAACTCTGTTTTATAAGATTGCTTTAGAATTTCAGAGCTAAAATTAGAAGAAACAGGTCAAGGCAGTTACACTGAGAAAGAAAGAAACCTCTTTCACACAAATCCTATAGTGGTAGAATACCAATTTTTTGCAGGAGAAAAGAGTAAACAAAGTAAATCACCCAATTTGATTGGTTTCTCAGCATAATAAAGTGCTGAAGCAGCACAGTGGAGGATTTGCTGGACAATTTTCTACACTGAAACTGTCAATTCATTCCAAAGCTTAGCACTGATGGATATTATGGATTGGTATGGATTGCACTGCTCCAACCATCTGAAAGGTCACTCGACAAACACAGCAGGAGTGACCTATTGTTCTTGCCATTGACAATCAGACTGCCGTTTTGACAAGTCTTTAAACTATCACAAATCTTTTCTTCAAGTATTACATGGAAATGTTTATCTTTATTTTGTGGCACAATTAAAAGCTGGCATCTTAGGAGTTCACTGAAGCAGTCTTAATATCTCCTTGGATCACACTTGCAAAGGCATGGAAGCCTAAGAATCTAATAGTGAATGGATCACCCCTGACATCTGTCAACTATACCACCGAGTATAATCTTTTCAGTTCCATTTTCAGATCAGAAGGTGAAAAGAACTGAAGCTATTATCCCCAGTGTACAAATACATTGGACCACTTCCCTTTCTCACCAAAAGACCACTGTTTCAGCTGTAAAAATGAAGCTTCACTGCTCAAAAAAATCGTGGCCAATAAAAATTGATGGACTGAAACTATGACCTATTGCTTTATGGAGGAAGAAGAAAACCATACAAAGACGGAGTATTGGAAAACAAATAAGTACTTCTCATGTTCTATTTTGGCATTTCATTTCATGTGCACAAGTTAAGAGTGGATTAAAAAACCCCACCTAAATAATAATTTTAAGTTTATAATCTTAAATGTGCTAATCGTTGCAAGAAAGATACTTCACATATGAATTTGCCTAACACTCAGGCTGTTAGAAGGATTTATTTCATGCCTACCTTTAGCTTCAGCTTCCTCTCTATTTAAAATAGAGAACTTTAAAAAAGCATAAAGATCTAAACAGAAGCATAGAATTATTTCGGTTGGAAAAGGTCTTAGAGATCATCAAGTTCAACCATAAAATATCAAAGATCAGTTGTGAAATCGATTTCCTGAGTACTTAGAGACTACAATCACCTCTCAAACAGGAGTGATTTCAGACTGACATGGATTAAAGATCTGACTAGGAATAGTTCCAGCTCCTTTACTTCACTATATGAGTATAACATGCATGTACATTTATATATAAATGTGTAGCATATACCTAAGCCATTTATTAATACTATTTATTTACTGCAAACGGCCAGTAAGGTTTTCAGTACAAAAACTTAATGACACAGGAAGTTTACTAAAGAAATGCTCCTTAAAAGGACATTAAAATTTCTTTTCTGTGCAGTGATAGTTAACAAACATCCCTTTCTCTATCCTCTCTCCCCCAAGAAAAAACACAATTACAGCAACATTCATGAAAACAAGTCCTTACTGAAACTCTCAGCTGCACTGATCCAATTGCTCTATAAGGCCACTTTATATACTAAAGAAATGGTTGTGGGAAATACTAGTACATAACAGGTCCCTCAACTGCTGTAGAAAGTATTTCACTGTCCCTGCAGAGTGGAAAAGTCCATTTTTAGCATGTGGAATTTCCTGAACAGGTTTTGTTATTCTTATAAAATCCCAGAACATATATCAATTTTGTTTTGCAAAATACGGGGGTTTCATTTTACTCTTACATTTCAGATAGACCTATTCAAAACAAAAAAGTTTACCAACAACAAAAATTAAACCAGTATATTTTGGAGTTGAAATGCTGAGGGTCAAATCACTGAAGAGTTATAAATCACTGGCTAAGAACCCTGAACCAAAATATGTTTGCTGCAGATCGAATGCAACATAATCCTGGTACAAAAGGTATTTTTCCTTTAATTCCACTCAATCAGATAATTTCTCTTTAATAATTAATGCATTCTAGACTAGGAACTGAAAAAAAAGCATGAAAGCTTATTCTCTTTTTCTCTGTGGTGACTTTGGAGAAGATGACATCTAGTTGTACTCAAAGTGCTAAGAATGGAGTGAGGAGTTAAGTTTTCTGAATACAGATAGGACGTGCTTTCTGTAACGAGCTGGTTACCATTAAAAACTAAAATTGTTTTGATAAACTTACATTTTTTAATTCAAACCATTTGAAGTAGTTTCATCTAACTCATTGTAAACTTTTTCTCATTGTTTCTGAGCATTTTTAACAACATCCCAATGTTCATCTAAAAGCATTTTGCCCCAAAGTTACTAAAATTGTAACAATCTAGTATGTAAGTAAAGTACTTTTTGTCTTTCTGGTATTGGAAATGGTAAAGAAGCTGAATAAATATATGCTAAATTATACTTCCGTATATAGAGTCCTCTAGGACCAAGAACCTTTGGACAAATCACCTTCTTTAGCAAGTGTCATTGAATAATAATAGACATAATTCAGGGAAAACTCATCAGCGGGGGACTAGCTAGGAAGAAAACCAGGTAAGATGACACAGTGAAGAATCTACATAGTGTGAAGACTGAAAGTCAGAATGTCTCCCATTACATAGAGTTGTGAAAGCTCTAAGCTTTTAGAGAATTTATGAGCCAAATAAGTCTGGATGGTGAAGGGAGATGGTGTCATTAAGATACTGTTGGATATAAAGGTGCCTTCCAGACTGATGTGAGTTAAAAAGCCTGGGGGAAGTAGCACTGAGCTGGGGAAAAACTAGCTTCTACTGCTTCACATAGCATTCATAGGCAGGAACCAAGAGGAGTGGTTAAACTAGGGTATCCCATCAACTTCTGGTAGACTGGTTTCAAAAAAACAGAAAGAGACTCGTGAGTGTCCCCCTGACAGAAGGCAAATAGAAAGGTAACCTACCTGAAGGATTAAGGTATGACCTATACAAAAAACTGTAAGAATACTCTGTCATAACTAGTTTTCTACTGGAGCAGGTTCTTGAGAATAGTGAGCCTGCTAGAGGAACCAGTCAACAAAACTGAACATTACAGGAAAACAACTGGAAAGTGTAATTACAAAAGCAGTTTATAACTGGTTAAATAAATCCAAAGCACTTGGTCATTAAATAATGAATAACAGTGGCTATTGACACACAGACAAGTTAACAGAAGTATGAAGACCTCAAATCATTTGGGACTTTCCTTAAAGCACGTACTCCAAAACTCCCAAAAGGTCTTTTCTAAACTTTAGAGCTGGGTTTCTTTAGAAAGTGAATACAATTAAACACTAAAATGGTAAAAATAAAACTTAGGATGGGAAGTCATAGCAATGCAAGGATATGTTAACATAACTCCCATGGCCACTATGTCCTCAAAAGGTGAGCCCTTTCCTTCAGCATCTCTCATTCCAGTAACTAACTTTTATTTTCTGCAGGGTGACCTCTGAGGCCTTATGAGATACATTCCTTCCCTTATCTCTGAGGAGTAGGTGTTTGTTCCCTACTTTTTGAGAAGTCTCTGTCTCTGTCTGTCTCTGATGTTTGCAGGTTGCTGAGCCTCAGCTTTCACTCTCTGTCCCTCCATGCACCATATAAAATCTCTTCCCCCACAAATGGCATCCTTTCTTTGTGATCCCATCTTTCTCAAGTGTAACCCCCAGGAGAAGGCGAACAAGAAGCTGTCTCTGATACGCAGCCACATGCACTTCAAAGCAACACAGTGAGGTAAAAACAAGAATCTTCCACAATACTATTGCCTTCAATCCCATTAATAAGTTTGAGACAGTCAAAAGAATCAATTCATGCTACAGATGTTTCTGTCTCAGTTTCTCTATAATTCTGGGCAGAGAATTGTAAACCCATCCTAGAAATTCCTAATTTCTCACAGAAGATGAGTCGGGATCTCTAACCAAATATAACACTGTTCTCAGAGGGGGAAAAGGATGCAAAAGTGCCCACATTGTTCTAAACTCCTGAATGTTCCTGTAATAAACTGTGTATCACTGCGGGAAAAAAGCTGTGTTTTGAAAGTATAGTATTAAATGTCAAATTCATTAGTGACATGACCTGAAATCATTAGGTTTTTCTTTCTACACTAGCTGCATATGTGATGTTTGGATTCCTTTATGTGGTATTTTCAGATCAAAATGAAACCACAGAGAAAGTATTGTGCTTTATTATTGTGTGTCATTTTTTGAAAGAATGACTCAGGCATTGATATTTAGGCTACTTTCAAGTCAAATATTTAAAGCCCACATCCTAACCATAAGCACGCTTACTGACATATTGGAAGGTCACTGGAACATGAGAAGACAGAGAGAGGTCTAAGCAAAAGACCTACAAATGAAATACTTTCCCCATTGGAAGAAAGGCAACTGTAAGAAAATGGAACTGGTTTCTTGTATTTTCATCAAAGTGCTGAACAAGTTCCAAACAGTTTCAGATGTATTAAAAATCAGGCCTGTGGCATTTTCCTCTTGTAGATTCATATTTCATTAGGTGCAATGACTTTATCTTTTCTCCAGTTAAAAATGCCATTCAATTGGCTGCTATACTTACTCTTTCACTGTCACAATATAGCCGTATTCTTTCTCCTCAGAAGATTTCACTTCAAGTTGTAAGCCTTGTCCTGTATTTTTCTGAGGCTTTTCATAGAGGTGTCCATCCTGCATTAAAGCATTCTTAATCCAGTAGCGGGTCTTGCTCAGGTCTTTGGAGTCAGATTCGCTGTTCTTTGCAGCTGTCAATTCCCTTGAGAAAGTCTCACTTTTTACATTTTCCACACCAGCGTTTATTTCTTCTGAGGAAGAAGAGTCAGTGTCTTCAGATTTCTTGCTTTCTGTCTTAATAGATTCTTCATGTATAAGGTCTTCAGGTATATTTTCAGGTAATGCGTTCTCCTTCAAGAAGGTAACTAGTTTTGCACTGTTCTCCTGTATTAAAAGAATATTATTATTTTTAAAACTAAACACAGGAATGTTGTACTGAACCAAATCTGGCTATAATCTTTCAAACTCTTATTGATATAGTAGAGTCTATTCATGAAAATGTCGCATAGTCATTTTATTAGTTTCTATATGCTGCCACACATGTAAGAACATAACATTTATTCAGTAATAATAAAAAGCATTAAATTATGCTACTGTTTTTTTCAATAGTTTTAATAAGAGCAAAGAAATTCCATATTTAACAGTCACTTTCTTCTTCAAATATCACAGAATGTAGATAACTTTTTCTCCGTCTCGAACAACTAGAAGAAAATGCTGAGGGTAATTTCACAGTGTTAATTTTCATGTGTCTGTGTGTTTAAGTATTGACGAGAACAAAACTTTGTTATCAAACAAGTTAATGAGGGGGAGAAATAATAGAAAGATGCATCAATATGCCTAAGTGTTGGGATTGGAAACATGCATACCTCTTGGGTTTCACAAGTCATAACACAGGAAATGGAACAGATATTATATGACAAATTATATTTCACTTATTCATCTCTAGAAATTCTGACAAACTGTTTGTGAGTGATCCACTAAGCTAAACATATGATCACAGAAAAAAAAAATTAAAAATCTGTCTAATAAATTGAAACAATAAGCAAATGAGCAGAAGTCAAAACACATGCCTGGAACAATTCGTTAGCTAGTTTCATTTTATAAGTTTATTGCAGCCAAGCATTTGGGAGGAAATGACAGCTAATTGGCACTTTGTGGTCTGTTTCACAATATATTCTTTTCTATCATATCCCCTATTCAAACTGTCACAAAGAAATGTATACATGGGATCCTCTGTACATCTATTGTGAATTTAACTCTTCATTCCTTGAAGAATTCCTTGTGGCTGGTTAAAGCTCCTGCCACATTGTCCACTTGTGTGTTTTCCTTGCTTAGTAGAAGGGCAGCTACTCAAGAGATTTTACTGTGGACACAAGAGGGTTTGCCCATTTATGAGTCTTGCAGTGTTAGCTTTTGATAGAGTATACAGTAGAAGTTTCATGGCACTTTTAAAAAATATTTCTTTGAGACTTTTCTGCTCCATGCAACCCAGAAAAAGAAAGATGAATATACCTCAAAAATGGCTCTGAATATTGGACATAAGTCTATAAAATGTGATTCAAAGCTCACGAAGAGTATTGTAAAAGTAATCTGGATTAAAATCCCAAACTTGATGTTATCACCTGGGGGACAAGATGTAATGCCTAAAGCTTTTGAAATACTTCTTATAGTCAACAATTTGCAATGGTAAAGAGAAAAAGTGAAGAGTGACAGATCCCATGAAAGGAGAGGGAATTTTGAATCTCCCACTAACACATGCCCACAGATAGAATACGTTTACTCAACTGCTTCTGAAAATCAGAGAGATTATCTGAACAAGGATGCTTACATTCCCCAGAGCTAAGAGCCAAAGGACAGGTGAAAGAAGTGTGTTTTCAAGAACACCTCATTACTCAAAAGTTACTAGCCTGTGGAAAACCTTGAATTTATATGAACTTTGGGATCTGTTATGAATTTTGTCTATTTATGAATGAAAGAAAGGCAAAATAGGACTTGATTTTTGGTTTTTTGAACTGCAAAACTCATTTTGGTTAAGGTTTAAATAAATGTTCATTTAATATTTCAATGCATCAACAACAAAATGCCTATGCTATGATACTAAATTATATCCACACAAGACACAAATCAAGTCTTATATTTCAGAAGTGTGTTTTTGACCTTCACTGCATATAAAGCTGATATTTTGAGACAGAATACTTGTTTTGTTAAAAAATACTGGTACTCTACCTCTTTATCAGTTCTTGCACTGGCTTCACGCACTCCATTGTCTGTAGGATATGAAAACCACAAATGCATAGTTATGAAGGGGAAACATCATATATGAAACAAATACTGCTATTAGGCTGCTTTGTAGTGGTAGTCTTTTCATGCAATTTAAACATTAAGACATCAAAGCTGAAAGGGCAGAGTAAAGAGCACTGTATAATTCAATATTGTTAGTCTAACCCCACTTCGATAGCAAATTAATGCAAGATCAATAGACAGAGTACTTCAAGAGCCAATGTAAGAGTGTTATTTTGCTAATTAAGTGTCCAATCTTCATATCAGTTTATCAATATCTAAGAAAAAAAAAACAGTAAAATGGCTCTAGCTATCTTAATGGACATTTACACTAAAGAAAAAGGAAACATATACATCCCTCATACACATTTTTGTGGGAAACGATGACTTATTTCAATAGATATCATCTACCAAAACCATGTTATAGTTTAACTATAGTGATGCAGTTACATCATTAACCTCAGTCAAATAATGCCAGCTTTTTGGTTTATGAACTGAGTCTTATTCATCTCTCCCAGCATGATTCAGGAGAAACTCTCAAGTCTGCTCATTTTAATCTAGAAAAAGAACTGGCAATTAAAATAATCAGAATATCCCTAACTAGTAAGGATTTCAGTATATCACCATGAAAAAAGACAGTAAGTTAAAATCACTGTTTATGACATATAGCATATGTTTTTGGTGTCCTAGATATCACAATATTCCTGAAATAGAGAATGGATGAGCAGTAACTTATGGCCCCACTGTGGTATCAATTCATTAATGGCAATTACTGTAGCTCCTGAACCTGCATCACCAGGAAAACATGTGTGCATGTTTTTTACAAATAACCGTAACAACTCTTTCATTTCCCTAAGCAGAAAAGGGAACGAGTAGTTTTCTACCTGTACCTGTCTAAAACTTTCTTCTGCAAGTAACTGTAGTACATTAAAAAATTATTATCTGTAAAACATAATTTTTCCCCCACATATTTCAAAATACATTCTTGGAATATAATCATTTTTCATTATCATTTTGCTTAAACATCTCATTTTCAAGAAAGGGAAATTAGACCACACAGCATAAAGCAATTTTTATTTCAATATAATTGTGTGTGCAGGTTTATCTTGTTTGTGAAGCCTGAAGAACAAGGGTTCGCAAACAGATGCATTTTTGGTAAATAAAGTACCTGCTGTAAAAATAAAACCACAAAAAAATTCTGCAGTCTTCAGGGAAAAATACAAAAAACTTCCCTCCTGTCTTCTTTAAAACTGATTTTTAAAAGTCTAGCACTAATGTAAAACAATAAAGGAAAATTAGAGTAGTCTTCTTTTGTTGTACTTAACTCTTAGAATTAATACCTGATATATTAACACTGTTTTCCATTAAACCAGTCTGAACCTCTGCCCTTGCTCGAGCATTTCCTTTCTTCATTTGTGCTTCTGTTTTGTTGTCTTTAGTTTTTCCAGCACCCTCTTCTGTTTCTTCCTGAATGCCAATGGTTTGAAGCGCATTGGCAATAGTATCAGCGATCTCATTCAGTTCTGTTGAGCTGAGGTTCTCCACATTCACTTGGTGTTTCTCTAGGTCCTTCAACACATCTTTAATAAGTGTTTCTGGATACAAAACAACATAAGCACAAGATTTAGCTGCATACATGAAGCACATGTGCTTTATCAGTAAGTACCTTTCATTTTTGCTAAAAGATATCCTTTCCTTCATGGAAAGCGTGTGTTTACCAAGAGAGTACATACACATTCATGCTGCCATCTTTACAGAAAACACAGTGTTATAAATGGATGTTAGAGTTTGTGACAAGGTGAATCCATGTCAGGCATTGGGGGATGTATGTCGCTACAACCCAGCAAAGTTGTCCTAGAGAGAGGGGTATAAAACTGTTCACTTTTTCTTTACAAGAAGATCATTGTTTCCTAGTCTAAACTGATTCAAAATACTGAAGACAAGTGTTAAGGTAGCTTAACTTTTTTTTAACTGCACTAGGATAGCGCAAATAACGCTACTGTTTATTAGAGATCAGGTTTGTTTGGTTTTTGCAAGGTAAATAGCTACATAGAGTTTGGGGGGGGGGGGGGGGGGGACGCGACTAT